TCGATTTTACTCTTCGGTTCCGTACGAACTCATCCGAACTCGAAATCGAGTTCCGCTTTTTCCTGTGTGTAGCTAACAAGCTCCTCTTTCCATTAATGTGATCATGCTCAATAACTTTCCAAAATCCTGCTCTTCCGAGATTTTCGACCGTTCCTTTATTTTACAAATACTCGAAAAATACAAGAAAAATATACAAAATTCCACACAAATACTTAAATATTACAAATTACTAAATAAAACTAAAAACTACCCAAAATCCCACAAACTTACTAAAAATACATAAAAATAATAATAAAAAAAACATTAATAAAAACATAACAAAAATAACACTAACATCATGTAAACAACATCACTTACCAAAATACAGAGTATGTCAACCTAACAGAATAGGTATCACCATTGGTAAATCAAACAAGTGTTGAATACATATGCTCGTTTATTGTCTTATGGGTTAAGATAACGCGACAATTATTAAGGTTTAGATTATTTACTTGGTCAGTATAAAATAATTTTATCCTCCCGTAGGTCCGTCAATACATACGAGATGTACTAGTGTAATTCATTAATCAAAGATCAAATAATTCAAAATCACACTACAACCTTTCACGACAGTTAGTTTAATTCTGTCTAGACCGTGAACAAATATATATTTTACAAGGCACCGATAATATGATCTTTCCGTTCGACATATCCAACCATATTATCTATAATGTAAAATAGGGGAACTATATTCGCATAAATAAATAAACTACTAACACACACTTGACTAAAAACACACATCTCATTCAAAATGGAATTGGGAGTAATCACAAAGCCGAGCTTCTGCAGTATACCCCAACACGGAGGGAGTCGACGACTAAGGGAAGGGCAAGAATGACAAGTTCCTAGGTGGCCAGTGGCCTCCGACGGGCATGGGTGGGTTGACGAAGTGCCAGTGATACTAGCCATTCGAGGGCCACAGGTAGCCTCTAGCGAGCCTCGGCGGGTGCATGTTCTCCAGTGAGGCCACAATGTTTTATAAAATTAATAATACCATTCAATCTAACCACAATGAGTACAACGATGATGTTTCTTATCTCGAGGATTTGGGGCTTTATATGGTTTAGGATAAGACTGGTTTAATTTAGCAAGCATGGTTAAGGAATCACTGGTATGTGAACTATTATGTAGTGATCACTGGGTTTCTTCTTGAAGCAAGAGTGAATAAACTTTGGATAGTGCGAGCAAAGGAATGGAGAGAAGGAAATGACTATGTAGGGAGGAATAGGAATCATTCAGCCTAACCAAATATTTCATCATGCAATCCTATTGCTGACAAACAACCATAGACTCAAAAATATTACAAGTACTATTATTGAAAGCACCACAAGAACATTTGAAAATGGAATGATAAGTAACATATTCATCCTATAGAGAATTAAAAGCATTGTAAAATTGAGTAACAAACACAGACCATTGATCTATAATACTTAGGATTTCTCAAGCTGAAAGACTCTAGGACCACTACTTATCGAATTTTAATCACATCCCAAACTTCTTTTGCAGAGGTGAAAAATAACAAAGACTGTCGAATTTCTTTGGAGATCGAGTTAAGCAATCATGATAACACAAAATTGTTAGCACACACCCAAGAAATATAGAGTAGGGTTACCAGAGAAGGACGACCAAAATATACTATCGTCAATGAATCTAACCTTATTTTTTACGTTGAGGCCCATAAGAACTTCCCAAGACCACGAAACATAATTCTCGCCGGTGAAATGCTCAACAACGATGAACGCCTAGATTGTCACTTGCATGCAGGAAAAATGGTAAAGTCGAATCGTTAGTGGAGTTCATCGATAAAACCATGTGTTGTAAAAGTGAAATTGAAAGTAGATCGAGTGATCTGGAGAACAACAAAGTGCTTTTCAAGTAGTTTGGAAAGAGATAGAAGAAAAATGAGAACATGCATGGAAAACTAGGGTTCGATGCTTGTGAGTTTTAGACAACGAAATCAAAGCGAGAAGATGAATCGCATATAAAGAGTAGAAGAAGAACAAAAATCGAATCGAAGGATCATATCATCCAACGAATGATACCATAATATATTCACAAGCTTATAGAGAGTTCATAGAGAGAGAGAGAGAGAGAGAGAGAGAGAGATGAACGAGGAAAAGAAAAATATCAACTGAAAATGCATAGAGACAATTAGGGTTTACATTATACAAGGATCATGTATTTATAACAAGGTCCAAGGAGTTACTATTAGAGTTGCTACTGTACAAATGAATACTCTTTACTTATATTACATGGACAACTTTGACTATTATGTACAACAACATTACATTTATAATGTTAATATTATTTTACTATTTACTTATCATATCATATTAAAAATATTATGTTCTATATCATATTATTTTACATTATAAAAATTCAAAATTTTCCAATAACCGTTCTCTATCCACCACAATCCATTTCTATCAAACGCCTAACAGTATATGATAGATTTTC